ATATCGATGTGTCGCAAATGCAGTTCAGCATCTCACAAAACATTTGCAGGTTCTCGCAAATCAGGGCTCAGTATTTTTATGTTTTTTGTGTAGTTAAATAAATTGTTGATTCAAAGTAATATAGATTTGTAGAGGAATCATTTGTCGCATCCATGTTGCTCTATTGCCTTTCTGAGTAAAAACTATCACTACCAGAATCTCTGTATGTGTAGCAAACCTAGACATACACTGGAAAGATACTTATTGTCAGCTACATAAAGTTTAATATAATAATAATAATAATAGCAAAGAAGGTCATGTGCATTAAAGCAGATTTGTTGCTTACCCTTAAAATAACAAAAATACAACTTTGCCTCACAAAGCAGCAGCCATTATCATTCAAATGACAGAAATATATTTCTTTGCAGCAAAACAAATTCATGATGTTTTATGTCTAATTCAGTTATTCTTCACGTAAAACTTCCATTAGGATTCATCAGTAATGCCTAGAGAGAAGTATTAGTCAGCTCTCAGGTCTGACTGTTTCACAAAGGTCAGGAGATTTGTCTCTTCCTCAAGTGTATTTTCTCTTCTGTGGGTTTCTGAGGAACGCCGAGTCATGGTGTTAAAGCCATGCCGCAGCCTCCACTCCATCATGGCAGACACCTCAATCTGTTTTCACCATTTGCCTTTTTTTTTTTCCCTCCACATTTACAGCAACGTAGGTTTTCAATACTAATAAGTCACTGCTTCTTTTTGCTTCATTCATCACTACTTCCTTCTCACTATTTTCTCTTTCTTCTTCATCCTATTTCCTCTTACCAGTACAGTGACCTGGCTTTTCTCGTTGTTTAACTTCTTCATGTGGCCATGCCTCTTTCTTCTAGAAAAGTAGACTGATCTCTTATGGTATTTTTGTTCTCTTTCACATTCTTTAGACTTGATATTCTCACCATTCCTGCTTCCATTTTTCATTTTCCTTCTCATTTTTCATTTCCATCATTCTTTAAAGGGCTAAATGGTGCCAGATGCTGTTAATCTGCTGCTCTGATTGTGCAGCGCATGCATGAATGATATCCAACCGTATTTCTAATATCCTCTTGCTTTGGGTCATGGCTTTAATCTTTGCAAATGGAAGGTGATGAATACCAGGGGCCAGTTAAGCATTTTGTAAATTGCATCGTTATGGAATGAAATGGGTATTTTGGAAAGAGATTATTTTTTTTTTGTTTTCTGGAAGGTTTCATGAAATTTGTGTAGTTTTCCTTCAAAAGTTGTTTAACCCATTACAACTCAATAAAGCATTCAATTACACGCCATTTCACAATGTATACTCGTTCAACTGTGTTTTCATAGAAATCGGTCAACATAATACATTCTGGCATCTGGACATATGGAAGGCGATTTATTGAAGATTAAAGCAAGCATCAATGTGAGGCATAAGGGGGATGTACACTACTTTGAACAGGAATTATCAATATTACCAGACAGTCTGGTCTGAGTACATTAGAAACTGCTGATCTAACGTAATCTTTAAATTAACCATTTATAGAGAATCAAGCAAAAATAAAAAAGAAAGAAAAAGGTGTCCAGTGAGTGGCAGAGGAGAATGAATGGACTGGTTTGAGATGGTATAAAGACAACAGTGCTTTGTACATAATATCATCTCTGAATGCACAAGACGTAAAAGTTTGAAGCAGATGAACCACAGAGAAAGAAACACACCAGTAAGCACGCCTTTCACTTAAGAGCAACACACCATGGGCTCATCAAAACTAGGCAACATCACAATGGAAAGACTTTACCTCCTCTGATGAGTCTGAATCAAGCCGCAATATTCAGATAGAGAAATCAGAATCTAGTACAAACAGCATAGGAACATTCCAGATGTAACAATGTGGGAATTGTTTTCCTGAAAAACGTAGAGTCCTGTAGGATCATTTTAGGATCATTGCTTGAAGTCCACACCGAACCTGGAGGTTGTCTCTCACCATGTTCATCCCTGAGAGACCACAGAGAGCCAGATTTCGGATAGCTATTTCCAACAGGAAAACTCAGCCTGTCACAAAGTTCAGACTGTCTTATGAACAGCAGGCAGAGGCCTGAAAAGGCCTCTGTACAACATTTTCACTAGATTCCAATCCAAGATAGCACCTTTGGCATATGAGATGGTGGAATGAGGAGATGAGTAGCTGATAAATGTGCAGTGAATATGAGTCTTTATTCTCATGTCAATAAAGACCAAAATTAGCTTGCGAGTATCTAGAATGATGACAATATCTTACATCATTTGCATGGCTTTAAATGTTACCAAATATGTGAAAGGCCTTCCTGTAAAACCTTGCTGTTCACAGAGGGGAAGTTCACAGATGAATTGTTGTTTCCTGTAGCAGTTTACACATTTGAAACCACAAAAGAGCTCTCCACGTCATGTTAAGAACCACTGGATTTCGAAATAGAGCTGCTTGCCACAGTAAGTTCATATACAGCTGATATTTTACAGATATGTCACCAAATACTTGCTCACATGGAGTGGATGTGTTTCCTAAGAAAATTGGCAGGAGAGCTGGTAGAAAAACAGAAAAACAACACTACTGTCTTTGTAAAACTCTTGTGGTAACCGTTTAACAAGGGTTTACGAGGGGGGTTATATTTGCAAATGAATGTGCATGGACTAAAAGAAAAATAGGCAGCTGTCTTCTTTGCCTGTGGCTCCTGCATGAAGTAATTACTTGCTGCTGTGCAGTTTATCTTAGATGAACATCTTGATATTTTCCCCCTATACTGTCTTCACCATTTTAGCTCCAAGCTCCCTTAAGACTCTTCTGCTTGGTGATTAATAGCTTAAAATATCACATTGTGTGAACTATACCCATTGTACACCCCCCCTAACAGAATCACTCATATGTACAGGTGATTAAAACGAGAGTGACAGGTGTGTGTAGTGAAGTCCCGGCTCTCCATTAGTTTAATTAAATTATCTTAATCTGATATATGCTATTTTGAGCCAACACCCAATTATATATGTTCCTTTTGTTTCTGGCTCAAAGCAATGGAAGATGTTTTTTTTTTTTTATTATTAATTTCTTTTCCCTTCCTTTCGCCAGCATACAGAAAACCAGAAACAAAAACACCTGCTTCTGCAAAGAGAAAGTCATTTGAAGCAATATTGGCTGCCTTTTCAAGTCTTGTAAATTCATTTATAATTGAAAAAGGAAACTAGGTGTTTTTCAGCTGAATATTACATATTCCTTGGGGTCACAGAGAAATTCAACATTTTGCTAATTTCCCAACAGAAATTTCTTGTCTCCATAATGTCTCAATTCACCTGCTCAGTCTTTTGCTGTGTTAATTGGAAATTAACTGAGGCCTGTTTTGACACAACATTAGGATTTTCTAATGATCATTTGTATTCCTTTCACAAACATTTGACTAGTTTGTCTAAAATTACTCAAGGAGTGCTGGTAGAATGAACAATGACACCAAATTAATACCACAGAAAAAAAAGGAACTATGTTTTCAAGGAACTCATTTTCTGTTAAAGTAGGCTGCAGAATTAACATGTTAACAGGCAAAAATTGTGGTTTAACAGTAATCATAAGTTACGCTTAAGCCTGCAATTTGTGTCAGACATATCTATTATCTTAATGGTGAGCTATTACAATGCACTGTTTTTCAAATATTTCATTTTGGATATTAAAATAGTTGTGAGCGCAACATATAATTCACCCAGCAGCATAAGTTTTGCTCTGAAAAGTGTGCAAAATTGCTAAAGTCAAAGACTTTTAGCAGTTGACTTGATAAAATCTATTTCAGTTCTTTTGGTCTGACTTCAACCTTTGATGTTATAGATTGCAAGTAACTTAACTAAGGTCTCATCTCTTGTGCTGTAATGAGAGGGCAATCCAGAAATCATTGCAGTCATATTTAACTACCTAAAGGATTTTTGGTAGAACCAACAGTTCCCATGGCTCCATTTTAGGTTGCTTCAAATTTACTTTTCATGTAAAACCTTAAAAAATGTTTGACCATTGCAACTAAGCCATTGCCAGTGGTTGTATCCAAATTCAGGTGTTGCATATTTTTTTAGTGATTTACAAATATGGATGGTAATAAACCTACTTAACCTGAACGTAGATAAAATGTAATAATTTATGTGATAGTAGATTAATTTTATCCTTTGGAAACAACATTTGTGTGAAAGTTCCTTTAAGGGTGAGAGCTTTACAAAATGGTTAAAAAGAGCTTTTTCCAGCTCAGATCAACATTTATTCACATTACTGAGTAAGTCGTGCTTTCATTACATCTCTGTTGATTTACTGCAATTCCCTCTAAGATGATTTTGATAATTTATCACTTGAATTACAAAAAGCTATTCAAAATATGCTGTAGCTGTACACCATCAGTAAAGAAACGACATGATCTTGTCAAACTTGCCACGGCCTCTTTAATCCAGCTTCCTGTCCATTTCGAGATCTAGTTGAAAATATGTATTTGGGAGTCTTCCTGGTATGGTACCAGATTTATATTAGTTTGTGAATGCATATAGTGCAGCCAGAGCAGCACATCGAATGTCATTGGACATTTCTTAATTCAAATTTAAAGGGAAAAGAGACAGTGCCCAACCTGTAATAGTTAGTTTTGATTTTGAACTCACATTACTATAGGCTTACAGAATTTTGCAATTCAGACCATTCATATTTTTTGGGAAAAATATATGTTTTTTTTTTTTGCTTTTCAATTTGCTACTGATTTTATTCGTGCAGAAATTTTGTGATCTACTATTTCAAACACGCTATGAAAATATACTTATAGACATATTATTGGTGAAATATACAAATGATGGTTGTAACCCATTTACAAAATACGTAATAAAGGTTATAACTTTACTGCTTTTGTCCACTGAAGACAATTTTCAATGTTAAATTTATCTTCTGTCCTCCCCGCCCCAATGAATAACAACAAGATCACCAGCTGTGATCCCACTTTGCCTAAGGAGAAGACAAGAACTACACACAAAATTAATTCAGTACATTTATTTATTTTTCTTTTTAACTGAGTCATTGCACATTTACTTAAGTGCAGAGTAGTACTCAATGTAAAGCTTTAGAAAATACAATCTCAGTCATCTCTGATGTGATTGTGGTGCTTTATGTGAATCCGTTGAAAAATAAAATACATTAGATGACAAGAAAATCACTCTTAGCAGTGTACTTTGATAGACCTGTAAAATAAACACTGAGAAACAGGGCAGCATAACTGGTCAGTGTTAAAAGGTTTATATCATTCATTCATATTTAGGTAGTGTAACTTTGCAAAATAAATGTACATTTCCCTTTGTCTGTGTAAACACAGTGGTGTTTTTTTTTAACCCATCTCTTTAAAACATCATAGACTGAAATAGTGCACTGTCCTTGAGAGAAGAGCAGGAATTGCCACCCAACTGTTGGCACCTGAATTATCCAAAACACCACTTTTGAGCTGCAGCTTTCTTTGTGCATCACACAATCATGTCCCCTATTCTTCCTTTCGGAAATAGCTCCATATATTTACAATAACTCTTTCAAAAATAAAAAAATAGGTTGGTTCATAAACTGTACACAATACCAAAAACAATGTGCTTGTTTTTTTTTTTTTAAATATAGTGCCACGTTTAATGTTCCCTTCTTTGCACAAGATCCTTTATTTCCTTAAGTGAGTTGTTGTCACAGGATTCATCATGGAAGTCTCTCCCCATGAAACTTTCGATGTCTGTGTCTGCCGTTCTTCTCCTTGGCTGTATTGACACAGGCATTGTGCTTGTTGGTCTGCAAATGGTTCCAGTACTTGATGAGTTCATTAGGCTGAAACTGATGGGATGTGATCAGGTGGCTGTACTTGCAACTGGAATAAGAGACACGCCAATGGTTGAAGAGGAACTCATTGGGAGGGGGTGCAGCGTCAATGCGCAACTTTGCCAGGCAGATCCCTACGTACACGTCCTCCAGATGCAGCCTTCGTATGCTTAGCGAGGCCTGATAGATCAACTCGGCCATGTCCCCTGAGAACACGTACCCTGTGCCTGAGCAAAATATTGGGTAGCGCTCGCTTGGATAAAGCTCTGGTGGCATGTACCACTTACTGTCCTTGTTTCGGTTTGGTGCATAGCCCCTCATTAGATAGCCTGTAAAATATTTCTGTTTGGGGGGAAATTCGGGTTTTAGCAGCTTTTGGATGAGATACTCTGTATTGACGAACATGTCACTGTCCGTCTTCATCACATAGGAGACATGTGGGCAATAGGTGGCTACCCAGTTCATGCCCATCAAGGTTTTGGTGGTTAAGTTGTAGTAGGTGTCCTGATAGTCCTGTTGAATGATATCATGGTAAACACGGCTCTCTTCTTCAATGCTACTTTGAAGAAAGGCATCTGAACTCTTTCCTGTGCCGAGAAGAAAAAGTCGGACGAATCCCAGGCCCCCTGCTACACTCTCATTTCCCCACGTCTGCCGGATTGCATTGCGTGCATCGGCCTGTCTGGGCTCAGCAGCAATGAGGAGGATGAGGAAGGGCGTACTGTCCCTGCACTTGAAAGGCTCATTCAGAATGTAGCGGTAGGGCTGAGCACTAAGCTTCTCCCCAACATCCATTTCCTTCTGTAAACTGTTGTTAGAGCTCATGGAGTCCCCAACCCCCACTATGGCCATCCTGGATCCTCCTCCAGCTCCACCTCCTCCTGGCTCAGCTGCTGTTCCCTCTGCCTGTTGAGAGCTGAGGTTGAGAAGAGGCTTTGGCGCGCCATACCCTGTCTCCTTCCACAGGCTCCTCAGGGAGCTGCTCTGGTTGGCCTCTCCCTTGGGAGCCCGGAGACCCCTGATGGTGTAAGCCAGCGGGTAGTCACGAGGCCCACTGCGCCCTGGCAGCCATTCCTGGTGGCTGAAAAACAGCAGGAAGGTAAAGAGTAGAGCCAAGGAGAGCAGACCAGCCACATGGGTTCGAAACAGGGAACGTTTGATTGTCCAGGTCATCTTGATGGAACAAAAGTGCCGCCGTCTCCACTGCATGATGCAGATTGGGGTTGCGAGAAACTGCTCCTTCTCGAGAATGGGCGGTGGTGGTTACATGCAGTCACCTCAAACATGTGGTTGCCAACAATCAGAAGGTTATCTGAGCTGGCAGATGGGTTGGAGCGAGGCTCCTGGTTGAGTCAAGAGAACAGTTGAGCCCCTAAGTGTAGCTTGAAGCAAGGTTGAAAGGGCTCCTGGTGGAAAGAAGAAGGTGGCTATTCTTTCACCAGCGACGCTTCTCCTTGTCTTCTTTGGCACTTCAGACAAACAGGGTCACACACTGGGTCTTGTCTTCTTCAGGTTATAATAAGGGTCACCTCCTCTGTGTCTGGTCCCTGTAATTTAAAAACAGAGAGAAAAGAAACTGAGGAAACATTCTGCAAAAGACTTCCTTTATTCACTGGCACTGTGCCAAGTGTCAATTATTTTAGCTCCAGCTATTCTTTATTTTTCTTTTTACTGTTAAATTTATTAGACTTGTTTCAACACAAATAATCTGAATTAATTTTGTCCAGATGGAAGAGTCCCAATTTAAGCTTTTTATAGATGCATAGCCTAATATGGATTTTTTTTTCTTTTTTTGTAAGCCAATTTAACACTTTGAAAAGGAAATTCAAAAAAAAAATTTAATCACCGTAGCATATTTAATTAGACAGGGATGAAAAACACAGCATGGGCCTGCAGCTTGTTGATAGAAGATTTATAAAACATGACAAATACATGCATGCCAATGCAAAAAAGAAAAAAGAAAAGAAAAGGGAAACCATTCTAAAAGGAACTCTAACAGATCAATTAAATCAGTTTAGCATTTTAAAATCTTACAGCAAAAGACAAGTTGTCAGAAATGACAAATGTCCTGAAAATGTATTGAAATGCAAAAAACTTGCAACCAGTGGATAGCAACATTGTGACTCCTTTTTGCATACAATTACTGGGCTTAGGGCCAAGAGCTCACATAAACTGTGGCTTTGCTCAATGTGGTGCCGACTAAACCTGCTCTAAACCACATAGGCTGCTGAGTGTCATCAGCCCCCACCACACATCAACAGCGAGAGAGGAAACGCATCTGTCAAAATGAGTTTTCAGGGTCCAGCAAGCGGTGGTGCTGCACCCCAAGCCAGCCTCTGGCGATGACAGCCACTGCTTGTCATTCACCTTCAGCCTATCAAGGCTTCGTACGGTCTTGTTGGGATCACCCGGGTTGCTTAATCTTCTAGGACACACAGGCATGAATACAGACCATGCAGGGAATTATGCACACATGCAGACACGCAAATCCACAAGAGTGTGGATAAAATGCAAATGATTCTGCCTGGTGCCCACCAGGGAGTTGTCCACTGAGACAGACATACTGCCGGTCATGTTCAGTCTTCACTGATTCAGAATGTCACTAAGCCAAACAAGCTCAACTTTTACTGTGCTCTGCATTCATGAACGCAAACATGCCAACACAATCTGTGTGTATTCATCTCTATTACTGGCTTCATGAGAAATGGATGTGATTTTGCAATATCTCTTTGATTACAAAGATTAAATGAGCATAAAGCAATTCGATCCAGATTTGACTAGTTCATATATTGTATTTGATTCCCTTGATTAGCTCTAAGGCACAGGTATCAACCTTGAGGCCAGCGGGCCGCTGGTGGTCTGCATGTAAACGACCGTTTATTTGCACTGTGTGACGCTACAGCTAGCTGTTTTAAAGATAATCATAGAAAGCTGGCTTGAAAACAGGTTAAAAAAAATTGCAGATACTGGTGGAAAGAAAACAACTCGAGGACTACTAATGTCATCAGAGGAAGCTAATTGACAGTTGCTGAGTGTTGATGTGTTGCTCACTAGTGATTGGATTCCTTTGATTGGTTAGCAGTAGGAATCGGTCCAGTTAGTCAGAACTGTTTTTCATTTTTTTAATGACTTTTCTTGGTAATGAATGATGCTCTGCTTTCAGGTTAACAGCTATTGTTATTTTTTTATTTCATTAAAAAATATTTTTAACAATAAATAAATACAATTGACAGAAATGGGTTAATTATTTTGATATGATTTTTTTTTTCTGATAAAGCAACTCAAGTCTATTTTTCTTTAATTGTGCTTCAAAATCACAAGTAGCCAAAAATGTTATAAATACAACACTTGGTAGTAAAGAAACACTTTTTTTTTTAATTTCCATGTGTTGAACAGTATTGGAAAGCTTGCTCCACATTTTCAGAATCAGTAAATAACTCAAAAGGCCGAGTAGACCTGATCATGGCTTTGTCGTGGCCAGTCACATTTACCAAACAGCACCACAACAACGAAAACAACAATATGTGATTTAAGAGACTAATATTTTCATTTCAGGTTGCATCATATATTAAGATGTGTTATTACAGGTGTCACAGGTGGTCTGTGACTGCTTGTTAAACAGATTGAGTTGTCCTCAGCCTGAAAAAGTTTGAGAAACACTCATCTAGACAACCATAGAAAGAGATTTCTGCGGCTCTCCAAATGAGGTCAAATGAAATCAATGTGAAAAGATGTTAAATATTGTTTCATTTTAAAAAGTACTCATAGAATGGAGAGAATGCTATATATTTTAACAGTTTAATGGGAAGTTTCATCAATAGATTCTGACACAATGGCCCTTTCAGGACTTTCATAAATCTGATGTGATTTGACAAGAAAAAGTGTTTGACGCCCCTGTTCTAAAGTGTTCCTAATGCCAAAACATTATTAATGGTGGTTTCTTTCTGAGTTCTCAGTATTCTAAATCTCACATTATGATTCAAAGCTATGACAAGGAAATCTCTGTGAATGTTTTCTGCATGACAGAGAAGAAGTTTCTCCATTATGGTCATAAGCACATTTTTCATCAATGACACTTTTTGTTTTGTTGGTTGTTCTTTAATTGAGTTAGTGGTCTTTAACTTCAGTACATCAGCTCATAGAGGCAGAGTAAGCCATTTTCAAGACGTTGTCTGGTCGCATTTATTTTGTCTTTTGCTTCTATTTTTTTATTTTTAAGCATTTAGTGTTCAACTCACAGTTGGTTACAAGCCAGTGGCATATGCGAGTATTTGTAACATTTTTCATTGTCTCACAATTTTGATGGGGGGTGTTAAAAAGTCAAATGAATGTTAAACAGAAATATAAGCCTAATATTCCCATGTTTTAGCAGCAGGAGGAAAAAGTGATGTTAGGGGGGCAGAGGGAGCATTTAGTGCAAATATTGTACTGACCTAGTCTGAGAATGATTTCCAGAAGTTCCCATTTTAATTTTCTGTTATGTTTGCTCATTCATCATGACAACTGACAAGGAACACGATAACCTTTTCAGGCGAGTGTGCTTACCCAGTGAAAGCAATTACAGGGAAATGAGACGGGCCAGGGCAAGTTTTGTTTTAAAGGTTAACATACTTTACATCGGAGCACATTGAGCGCTTGAGAGATTTCTGCTGTCAACCAAATGAACATCTAGTTACACAAACTCTGATCAGAAGAACACACAAGGAGGCACACATAGATATGACTGCAGAGAAACACACAAGGAATAGACGCCCCCCTTCGTGCTGGCACCCACCCAGCCCACAGTCATTCATGAATCGAGTTTGTTTAGTTCTCAGCATAAATGCAAATTTCAGGGGGATCATCAGGGATCCATTTTTACTTTTAAACAGTACTATTTAGTGTGCCAATGCCTCTCCTCATTAATTCCTTTTCTTGCCTCCCATCAATGTCACTTCTATGCAGGCCAATTAGTTACACCAGTGCTAATTAAAGCCCCAGCGATTCTGCAGCGGTCAATAATCAGAACGAAGGCTGTGGGAGTGGCGCACTGGTGACATTATTAGGCGTGCATCAGTGTTGACTGTCACTAGATCAGCTTCAAACCTGGAGGTAAAAATAAAGATGACAGGCATTTTGTTTTGTTTCTGTTTCTTCACAGGAAAAATGCAAAGAGTATGCATGCAGGACAAGCATGCATGACAAGCTTTGGGAATGCGAATGAATGTATGACACTCAATAAAAACATTGCATTTCATAATAGTGACACATTTTTCTGAAGAACGTACTGCTCACATTTATAAGCCATTTAGAGTAACTTCTCATTGAAGATAAAGGTTAAAATCCACTTCATTGAAAAAGCCCTGACTGATATGGTTGACTGAGGATCTCATCTAACCTAATAACGCTATCCAGAAGCAGCAATCCTTAGTGAACCGCAACATGTTTGATTTGTTTTACAACAATACAAACAATATAAACTTGGTGTTTAGAGTCACAAAAAAGCACAAATTTCATAAATTTAAGGCAACATCACTGTCTTGATTTAATATCCAATCTATTTTATTTAATGTCATATAGGTTAATTAGTTCACATGATGAAGTAAAGTCACACTACCCTCACACCCCCATGACAGCCTCAAACACCACCAACAGATTTTTATGCAATTTTATTTTTCTTTTCATTATTTGGGAACTTTCTGCATTACAACTACCAATTTTAATTTCAAATTGATGTGACAAGAGTTATAAATGGTAGTCATGGTAAAAGCTTAAAGATTTTTAAATGTGAATATAAAAGCCAAAATGTGTTTGGAATCCATTGAAAAGCAATAAAAACCCAATTAGATCAAGAAAAGTGAGAAGGCGTTGATATGTGCACAAAACTCAAGATTTGAAGATGAGTTGGTGGATCATATATAGAAATATAATTTCAAGGAGAATTAGAATGTGCTAATTTTAAAATTCCTCTTTGTAACCCGAGTGTAATTTTAAACCTTCAATTCCTCTGATTTTCTACTCTTTTGCCTTTTAGCCTCAAATCTCGCAATGTTTTAATAGTATTATGATTGATTCTCGCGAGATTATCGTTTAGCCAATCGCGGTTCAGTACTGGGGTCACATGTACCTTTCCAGTTTACCGGCTAGGTATATTAGCTCAAGCGAAAGGGCGTGAAGGGTAGAACGCGTTGGAAGGAGCAGAGCTGGCAGGAGCCCATTATTGTGAGCCGGAAAGTGAGATGAAAAAGATCCGGTAGTATGCCACAAAACTGCGGAACTGAGTGTTTTTGTGAATGACTTAGCGTTGGCTTATAATCACTGCTGTTGTGTAGCCACTAAAGAAAAACTGATTGTACACTCCTTTTGATAAACAAAACGGGTAATTGAAGTATTTATTGAACACTGGTTTATATTAGTATTTTACATTCATGTTAATTGATAATATGGTGTATATTTATTGAATGTTTCATGAATGTAATTTATATTGAATTTTAGATTTAATGAAATTGCAATTGATCAAATGATAGAATTATTTATAATATAAAATGTTATTTATTGAATTGTGTAT